GAGATGTAATGTTATTTGTGTACAGTGTATTGTCAAGAAGACATAAAACGTAATTTGGTGGGCTTCCATATCACTGGAAAAACTTCATTTGGAATATATGTTCATATGTAGAATTAAAATATTGATAACATGAAGCTAATTATTGTTTGAAAATCAGTGTTGCCAAATGAGTAAGATAGCGCAGCCTGTTAATAAAGACCTGACTTAATAACATTGTGGATCTGATTGTTCTGACAATAAATTGGAAAAGAGAAAGATTGGAAGCTGGAAGACTGTTAAAAGACAACTGGGAGATATGTCGTGGAAGGTAGTATTGACAAGTTACGGTAATTGATTGGATATGGGAGATGAACAAGAATGAATCCCAGGTTGTGAATTTGAATAATTGGTGATATCTTTGTCAGAAATAGGAAAGTTCAGAAGAGGGGCAGGTGAGGGTTAGGAGTAAAGATTATGAGTTTATTTTGGACAAATTGAGTTCAAGAAGCTGAGGGAGAAGTATAGGTTAAGATGTCTAGAAGACGGTGTGTCACAAGACTGAAAACTAGAAGAGAAAGTAGAGTTGAATATGTAGATTTGTGAGTCATCTAAGTAAATGTGGTCATTGAGCCATTGGGAGCCAATAAGATAATTTTTCAGCCCTGCTGGTTGCTATTAGGAAGCCCTGCAAATGAAAAAGCATTTATTAACCACAAACTATGGTGTCTATTGTCATTAGGTCCTTTTCAGTCTTATCCAACTCTTCATGACCCTATTTAGGGTTTTCTTGGCAGAGATACTGAAGTGGTTTGACATTTCCTTCTCTAGCTCATTTGATGAGTAAGGAAATTGAGGCAAATAGGGTGAAGTAACTTACTCAGGGTCATACAGCTAGTATGTGTCTGAGGTCATATTCGAACTCAGGAAGATGAGTCTTTCTGACTGCAGGCTGGGCACTCTATCCATTGAGCCACCTAGCTTTGATATTTATCAGCGCATTAAAATTAAAACTTAGGAAAAAAATGTTAGCTTTTGAATTGTGGTGCTGGAGGAGACTTTTAAGAGTCCCTTGGACAGCAAGGAGGTCAAATTAGTCATTACTTGAAGAAATTAATCAGATTCAAGTTTAATCCAAAGTGGGAAAGACCACTTTTTAAAAAAAAAATTTTTAGTGTCCTTTATATCCCCTTTTGTGCTCTTTCTACCAATCCATACTTTCTCTCCAGACTGTTGAGAGTTCATCATATCTAAAATGACTCCAGACCCACCTCCCATACTACACCACCCCCACAGCACAACTCCTGTTCCCATACCCTGGTCCCCATATCAACTCTGCCATTCGGGAATAGGTGTGTCACTTAACCTACAGTTCTTTTCAAAATCATAGTAAATTGCCAAACCAAAATAGCCACGAGGGCCACCATGGCCTAAGTGTGGTTTTGCCGCTATTGGAATGCAAGCTGCTTGAGAGTAGGGCAGCATATTAAACCCTGGGGATACAAATACAATAAGCACGGCTGTCCTACTCTCTTTTTTGGAGAACGTGACTATGGCTATGCAGCTTACTTTAGCACAGCTACTTTCTCTCACAATTGAGTCTACTTTGCTACCTTTTTTTTTTTGCCTGGTTCTTTGACAGTGGTTGCTCATGCAAATCATGCCTCTGGCCGCCCACTTTTCTCCTCCAGATTGACAGGTGTGTAGGTGCTCACAAAAGCATCACTGTCACTGTTCCCAAAAACAATTCTTAAACCTACCTCTGGGACTCATGATAAGTATAAAGATTAAAGCTTTCCCCCTGGAATTTGTGGAACTGAGTCATTCAGGATGGAACATAATGCCTGGAAAGGATACCAGACTTTAGCTACTCTGCAACTGTATAAAGGCCAAGTAATACCTAGTCCCTGTTGCTGGAAGGTTTAGGGATATACCTAGTTCTCTAAACTTAACTCCAGGCCTGGGCTAATGTGTCATCAAAGTAAGTGAACATTTATGTAATGTGATTTGAGGGGAGATGGGTAGGGCCTCTTTGCTTAAAATGTCAGCCTACATTTTAGTGCTGGACTGGGAAGCTGGCTGACCAGACTGAATCTGCCAAAAAGTAACTAGCTATTGTATTGGGCAAGTCATTTACCTCTCTGGATCTCAGTGTCCTAATTTATAAAACAAGGAGTTTAAAAAGCACTGAAGGGGTCTCAGTTGGAAAAAGTTTAAGAAACCCTGGACTAGGTGACCTCTAAGGATTCTTCCAGACTTAACTTTTTTTTTTCTTTTTCTGTGTGATGATTCTTGAACCTCTCTGCATTTCTCCATCTTTTCCTTCAAGCAATTAAGATTCTCCATACTAATAGTAGTTTACCACTAGGCCCCAGGGGAAGGGATGGTTTGGATTTGTACCAGCTGGGCAGCATTTGGCAACTAACCAGGGCCCATTTGTGGTTAGTAGGGTTGGAAGGCACCATTGTTATGCTTGTCCCATTAATTATTAACGCATTGGGTATTCATTTCCATTTCTACTTCAACCATTTATTTGACTAGCTTTTGAGAACTCTGTCTGGCCCATCGATTAGAGATGGCTTTGGGGTGTGGCAGAAAGAGCTCTGGACTGAGAGTCAGTAGAACTGGGTTCTGAGAGTCCCGACTATACAATTAACTGTGACCTTGGGCAGACCATTTCCCTTCTGGGCCTCAGTTTCTTTTGTGAAATGAGAGAATTGTATTTGAAGATCACAGAGAGCCCTTCCAAGGCTGACATTCTTTGATTGTATGTTCTTCCCTACTTAATCCATTGAGCTGTAAATAGCTCAATAGATGATATGGAGGCTTAGCAGGTGGATGAGATGGAAGAGAGATGTGTTCATGTTCATAGGATCTGCTTTTTTCCATTTGTTTCACTTTGTCTTTGGTGTTTTCAGAGCACAAATGACAGCTCTTGGGTTTTTTCCCATCCTTCTAGTTTAAGCATATAATTTTCTTGTATCTCAGTGAACTGTGTTTACTGCAAGGCAGCCACGTGCATAATTCGTGCTAACAATGGTCTGTTTTATCTGTGTTGTGGTGAACATGATAGAACTGGTCACAGCTGTTCTCTAGAGAAGAGGTATATGTGGGTGTGCAGTGGGGGAAAGAAGGGGGAGTGAAGTGAGGGGAGAGAGAATGAATGAGAATGGGAAGATGTTACTGTACACTTTCTCTTTTCTGACTTATGTGAACATCTGCCCATTTCATCCAGAACGGTAGACTATTTGGGAACCTGAGGGCTAATGAGAGTGGGGGGTCAGCTACAGAGTTGATTTGTCAGATATTTGGGGCAGGGAAGGGGGAGGGTGGAGGGAAGAGCTGAAGACGGATAATTATTGGAGTTACTTGAATAGAAGTGATTCAAAGGCCATTTTATTACAGAAACTTTCCTTTTGAGGGAGTATCGTGTTTTTGTTTATTTCTTCTTTGGAAATTTAACTTTTTCTGGATTGGATTTTAAAATTTTCAAATATATTCATCATTTAAGAGCTTCTGTATCTGTTTAGTAATGATGATTGTGTTCCTTTACATTAATGTAGTGCTTTTACCTTTTCAGAGTGATTTCCATCTATTTTCTTATCTGCTTCTCATAATACCTCTGTGAGGGAATATTATCCACATTTTACTGAAGAAACAGACTTAGAGAGGTACCATGACTTAAAAATCATAGAATTAGAATGGACCAAAGACCCCCCAGGTGTTTGACAGAAGAGAATTGACTTGCTCAAGGTGTTGTCGTTAATACCAGAGCAATGAATAAAATTCAGGTACCCTAACTCCAAGTCTTTTGTTTTTTCTATTATAGCAGCACCTGCCCTTCCCTCTCATATTGTTATAAAAGTTTCCCTATCACTATAACTTTTAGTGTATGAGACTGCTGTCTAATGTGAAGGTGGGAATGGAGGATAGTAGGGAAAGACCCGTACAAAGCCCAGGCCTAACTTTTTCTACCTGACAGTGATATGATCACTCTCCCCTCATCTCTGCAAATGTTCTCAGCTGGAAAAATGATTAAATTAGAATTCATTCCTCCCTGTCAGACATGCCAAGTAGGGAGTTGGGGCAACATCATAATGTATGATTATGACATGCCCTGAGTCATTATTTATGTATGTCTGCAGTATATCAGTACCAAGAACTCTCAGGGGATTCTGTTTCTAACTTTGTATAAAAACAGTTACTTTCTTTGCAAGTAGTACATAATCTCTTTCTCACCTGGCTTTTGCTGGTGTTGTTTTAATCATTTTTCCATTTACCGGTTGTATTGAGCATCTCTTTTAACAGCTGCTTGTAAAATCAAACTTTCCAGGTGGCCTGGCTGAGGTTTCCAAAGTGGCTATCACACAGCTAGCGAGATTCAGACTTCGATGAGTTTTTCAAAACATCATAACAGTCTTGTTTTGAGGGTAGGATCTGGAAAAGAAATGAAACAAAAGTGCACACATGATGAGCCCACCAGACACACGCATATACTCACGCACATCCCAGACACAAGGTAAAGGCCTCTGATTGATTCTGTGTAACCCATTAGAGTTTGTTTGACCACACCCACCCTCCCTACTTAAGTACCCAGGGTGGAAAATAATAAAATCAGCATTGGTTTTACCTTCCTAAGAATCAAAGATCTATCATTTTGTCCAGTGCTATTTATTTGGTCCCAGGCATTGCCTTCAGCCTTGACAACTAGAATCCTAAGATGTTAGAGATGAATGTCATCTTAAGGATCATTTAATCTGACCTCCTTGTTTTACGGAGCTCCTAGGGCTGAAGTGACTTATCTAAGGTCACATAATAGCAGAGACTATTAGTCTTATTTAGTCAGTAGAACCTGAGTTTCCTGATTCTGAGGCCAGGTCTTTTTCTTATACTGGTGTCCCTCCTCTGCCTAAGAGAAGAGGTGGACCCTTTGTTGATTTCAGTTTATTTCCCAGTAAGGCTAATGGGCTGTTCCACTGGGAGAATTCTCACTGTGTCTGTGTCTGTCTTCTCTTTTGGGGCAGGACTAACCTCGAGGCGCTGCAGAAGAAGCTGGAGGAATTAGAACTTGATGAACAGCAACGCAAGCGATTGGAGGCTTTTCTCACCCAGAAACAGAAAGTGGGTGAGCTGAAGGATGATGACTTTGAGAAGATCAGTGAACTGGGAGCTGGGAATGGTGGTGTCGTGTTTAAAGTTTCCCACAAACCCTCCGGCCTAATCATGGCGAGGAAGGTGAGCTTTGTGGCTTCCTGAGCCGAAGGCACTTAAAGATTCTCGCTCAGCATGTCATCCCTCCGTGAAACCTTCCTTGATCTTGTGGTAATGACTCCCCTCTCCACAAATCAGACTTCATATAACACTTTGGCACTTCTTTTATGCATGTAACAATAATACAAAATGCTCAATATCTGTAGGTGTCATTTCCCCCTACTCTAAGCTCTATATGGCCAGGGAGCATGTCTTAATTAACTTTTGTATGTTAGAGACTTAAGCCCAGTGATCTGGTTTGTTTCACATCCCAGGTCATTCCATGCATCTTCAGTCTTCCTGGAAACTCTTATAACAATATTGGGGGGAGGGATTCTAATGGAAAACATACTAGGTTAGGAGTCAGAGTACCTGGATTTTTAGTCCAAGCTGTGGTATTAACTTCAACACCTTAAGCAAGTGCCTACAGGGGTGGGGAACCTGCAACCTTGAAGCCACAAGTGGCCCTCTAGGTCCTCAAGTGCAGTCCCTTGACAGAATCCAGACAAGTGAATCCAAACAAATTTGGATTCAGTCAAAGAGCCACACTTGAGAACCTAGAGGACCATATGTGTGCAGGTTCCCCACCACTGGCCCAGGATGTAGTTCTGCATATATGCTTAATCCATATTTTGGTAAATCGAATTAGATCTAGTTGCTGTTTCCTTTCTTCCTGCTTTTTGTGGGCAAGCAGTCTATTTACTGTGAGAGGCAGATCTCATTTCACTTTGTTGCTATTGCCCATTCTAGGAGAAGTGTCTTCCAAACATCTTACACATTGTGACCGTATTAATATTCTGGAAACACAGATGTTGTAAACCCTCGCCCCTAATAAAATATATATACTTAATACGTAGAAAAATAAATAAAAAACTAACATCCAGTGGGCCCCTCATTTTCTCCAGAATAAAGTCCATATTCCTTTGCTTGGTATTTGAGACCCTTATTAATATGGCCCCATTCCCCCCCCCCTTGACTTAATAGTATATTTTTTTCCAATTACATGTAAAGATAGTTTTCAACATTCACTTTTTTACGATTTTGAGTTCCAAATTTTTCTCCCTCCCTCCCCACCCCCTCTTCCCCATGACAGAAAGCAATCTGATATAGGTTATACATGTGCAGTCATATTAAATATATTTCCACATTAGTCATGTTGTGAAAGAAGAATCAGAACAAAAGGGAAAAACTGTAAGAAAGAAAAAACAAAACAAAAGTGAAAATAGTATGTTTCCATCTGCATTCAGACTCCATAGTTCTTTCTCTGGATGTGCATAGCATTTTCCATCATGAGTCTATTGGAATTGTCATGGATCATTGTATTGTTGAGAAGAGCTCAGTCTGTCATAGTTGATCATCACACAATGTTGCTGTGTACAGTGTTCTTCCAGTTTTGCTCATTTCACTCAGCATCAGTTCATGTAAGACTATACAGGTTTTTCTGAAATCTGCCTGCTCATCATTTCTTATAGCACAATAGTATTACATTACATTCATATACCAAAACTTGTTCAGCCATTCCCCAATTGATGGGCATCCTCTCAATTTCCAATTCGTTGCCACCACAAAAAGAACTGCTATAAAGACTTTTGTACATTTGGGTCCTTTCCCCATTTTTTATTATCTATTTGGGATGTAGACTTAGTAGTGGTATTACTGGATCAAAGGGTATGTGTAGTTTATAGCTCTTTGGACATAGTTCCAAATTGTTCTCCAGAATGGTTAGATCAGTTCCCAACTCCACCAACAATGCATTAATGTCCCAGTTTTCCTACATCTTCTCCAACATTTATCATTTTCCTTTCCTGTCATATTAGCCAATTGGATAGGTGTGAGGTGGTACCTCAGAGTCTGGCCCCATTTTTACTATCCAACCATATCTCTCACTGCTCCCCAGCACACCCTCTACTTCTGTTAAGTCAGTGTTTTCACTGTCTTCCAAATATACGATCATTCCTGCCTTCCTGTGTTTCTGCCTTTAGTCACATCATTCCCTAAATCTGTCCAAGACCTATCCATCTTTTTATTTGTTTGTTTTTTTTTTTTTTTTTTTTTAGGCAATTGGGGTTAAGTGACTTGCCCAGGGTCACACAGCTAGTAAGTGTCAGGTGTTTGGTCTGAGGCCGAATTTGAACTCAGGTCCTCCTGACTTCAGGGCCGGTGCTCTATCCACTGCGCCACCTAGCTGCCCCCAAGACCTATTCATCTTAAAAGGTTGAGATATCTCAGCCTCCTTCAGGAAGCCTTCTCAAAACTGCTTCAGCCCACATTATTTATCTTCTGTGAATTTCTATAATATTTAGTCTTTCCCATTCTAATAGTAAGAGACAGTGTATGATTTTGTGTTTTGTTTCTGTAGCTAAACTGAAAGCTACTTGGAGGACAGGGACTGTATTTTTGTATTTCTTTAGTTTTCTCCCCACCACATGCCTAGCAGCATGCCACACATAGTAGGTTCTCAGCAAATATTTGTTGAATGAGTGTCTATTGAATGGACTTAGCATATGCTTTTGAATTTTTTAAACAAAAGAAAGGTTGCTGAGGAGGAAGTTAGGTGATTCTTGGATTTTCAGTAGTTTCAGAGGAAAGTCAGTGTGTGGCCTTGAAACAAATGCTAACAAAATACTGTCAGTCCGAGGGGAACCCCCAGATAGCCTGAATCTGTTCAGAAGTTCCCCATTCCCCTTGCCTTATAAGAACCAGTGAGCCATTCCACAGCTGTAGTGAATGAACACTTCCAGTTCCATGTTTCCCTTAGGAGAGGTTGTCTTTCAGCTCCCCCCCAAATCTCCCTCTCTGCCCAGGTCCTCAGAATGTAGTAGCACAGCCTCCATTCCTTTAGTTATGGCTCATTCAGTCATCAACACAAGCCTCGGCTTTTTATGCTTTAGTATTTGGTGCTTTGGATGGGTGGGTGGAACGTGTTTATGAAAACTTGCCTTTTTCCTTTTTTTTTTTTAAATTTTCTTCCTATTAAAAGCTTTAGTAGTTATGAAGGTGATTTCCAAGTTGTTGTCATTGTTTTTAACAGCTAATTCACCTGGAGATCAAGCCAGCAATTCGGAACCAGATTATACGGGAGCTGCAAGTCCTGCACGAGTGCAACTCTCCATATATTGTAGGGTTTTATGGGGCCTTTTACAGCGATGGGGAGATCAGTATCTGCATGGAGCACATGGTAAGTGGTTGGCTTCTCTAGTGGGACCAGTACGCCAACTCTAGCTAGATCATTGGCCCAGGGAGGTGCTAGCTAGGCTCTGCCACTGTCTGTATGTAGTTGCTCTGGCCATTGCTAAGAGATGGAAGAGTCGGTTCTCATCAATGTCCTCTCATTTGCTCTCATTCTTTCCCAGCAAATAACTCTGTTATTTAGAGGAAATGTTGACGTGATGAAGTATTTGGGAGAATCAGCATTAAATAGCTTCTGGTTCCTTCTCTTTTTATTTTGCAGAGCGTCTCCTTTCCTGTCTTAGTTATGTTTCTGAAGTTCCATGGGCTAGCACTGACCTGGGGGAAGAAGTCTCTGATCACACTAGAACGTGGAAGGATCCTCTCTGTCCAGTTTTATAGTTTTGGTGTTTGGGTTTTGTTTTTTTTTTTTTTTGTTTTGTTTTTTTTACTAATTCTCCCATTATTTTAAATGATCAAGATGTTCTGTACGAATTCTTCCAGACATGTCAGCTTTTGTTGGTGCCGTGTGGAATGTACATTCTGGAAGCATTTTCTGTGTCTGCAGGTTATTTAGAACCCTCCCTCTTGCTTATCTAGGACAGAGGAAGTTTTCTGTGGAAATAGATCCTTAGTTCAATAGTTATTGGGGCCCCCCCCCCCCGTTCCTGGCCCCAATAGTAAAGCATTCCTTTATGGGGAAGCATATAAGCACACTTCTATTTTTATAACATGAAATGATGATTTTTTTTTCATTATTCAGCTGGACCTTAGCCTCCCCTTAGAGGGAGTAAGAAACATTTCTTGTCCTTTTGTTTCCTTATGTACTTTTTGGTGGTAACAAAATCTCCAACCCTGGCATGTAAAGTTTGGATGCAAATGTGTGAATGGCAAATGAGGACCTGAAAACTGAAGTGGGAAGGAAGGTGATGATCACAAACCAGGGACAGGAAAGGCAAGAGCAACCTCCCTTCCCTTTAGGCTCTGCCAGGAAGATGGAAGGTATGTTGACTGACCAAGGATTTGGAGCCAGCTAGATCTCTGGGCGTTAGTACTCTCATGTATAAAATAAGAGAATTAGGCTTGATTATTCTGGTTCTTAGAATCACTGTTTCCAAAACTGTGGTTATGATAGTTCTGCTGTACTCTGCCCTGCTCAGCCCACATGTGACATATTAGTTGAGGCAGCCACATTTTAGGAAGGATATTGATAAGTTAAAGAGCAATGAGAGGGGAATTTCTGGATCCTGTGACCAGCAGAGTACCAGGCTAGACATTTTCTCTGGCACTCGGCGCCTGTCAGAACTCTCCAAAGTAGCAATTATGTACAAGAGATAAAGCAACTTCATATTTCTGTATAGTCCAGGACCACAAAAAAAACTAATGAAGTCTGATGAGCCAACATCGGAAAAGCCTAATTCCCAATTCTAACTTAACTCCATCAATGTACTGGGTTAGATGCTTAAGGAAGCATGAGATGATAATGATAATCATGATACTTAATGCTTTTGTAGAGCGGGGTTTCTCAAACTAGGCTCCAGGAACTTGTTTAAAATATTTTGATAACTGAATTTCAGTATAATTAGTTTCCTTTGTAATCCTATGTATTTTATTTTATGCATTTTAAAACACTATTCTGAGACGGGATTCTTAGGCCTCCGTGACCAAAAACCTTAACCATCTCATGTAGAGCTTTGAGGTTTGCAAAGAGATTTACATATATTATCTCATTTGATTCTCACAGCAACCCTATGAGAAGTGGGTGCTGTTTTCATTCCCATTTTACAGATGAGGAAACTAAGACCAAGGGAGGTTGTGACCCAGATGCCCAGGGCTTTTTGTTTAGTTATTTTTCAGTCTTGTCTGACTCTTTGTGACTCCATTTGGGGTTTGTTTTCTTGGCAGAGATTCTGGAGTGGTTTGCCATTTCCTTCTCCAGCTCATTTCATAAATGAGGAACTGAAGCAAACAGGGTTAACCTGACTTTCCCAGGGTCACACAGCTAGTTCAGTGTTTGAGGAATGATTTGAATTCATGTCTTCCAGATACCATGTTTTCTGCTCGATCTCCTGTTCTACCTAGCTACCTGAATGAGATTTGGTCTCGACCCTTGCAGAACTTACAGTCTAGTTGTGGTTTCTTTTGTGACTCTACTTCTCACTGAAGTCAGTTTTTTTCAGTATTGGGAAATCAGTCATTGGAGGCTTTGCTGAGGTCATACCATTTGGACATAATGGCTAATGATAATGATAGCTAGTATTTATATAGCACCTATGTTATCCTAGGTACTATACTAAGAGCTTTACAGTTATTATCTCATTTGATCCTCACAACAATTCTGGGAAGTAGTTGAGTGTTCTGAGGCAAACAGGGGTTCTTCACAAATGCATGAGATATTTGACCTTATGCCTTTTCTTGAGAACATCAGAAATAAAATCTCTGCTCCCCTCCATCCTAGACGGAAAGCCAAAGAAAAGTTTTGTGGGAGAAATATGGTTGTCTTCTGCCATGTTTGCAAAAGTGAAGGGTGTGGCCAAACATCAAGAACCTGTAATGGCCCTTAGCTGTAAATTTGCTTTAAGTCCTTCTAGGCCCTGTTTCTGTTTGCATTCTAAATGCCATGTCAGAAGAATGAATTGGGCAAGTTTAACTTCTGCTGTGTAAATGGCTTCTTGCCTTTTATTGTCTTAAATTTGCTTTTTTCATATATCTGTGGAAGTTTTGGTTTTCATGTTCCAGGATTTCATGAAGAAGTAGGCATATGTTCAATTTTCTATCTCCTACATGATTTTGGAGGCTCCTCTCCCTATTCTGGCCTTCCATGTGGAGAATACAGTCTTTGATGGAGTATGAACCTCTCCCATGAGTCATACCTAGAGGTCAGTCAGTTTTCATGGGGATCTGGTTTCTTTAGTGTAGAAAGTACAAGGTGTCCTGCATGAAAGGCCCCAAGACAGAAGACACTTCATGCATTACCTTGTGGATAAGGTTGATCTTGTGTGATAAGTGGCCAGGATTGGGATACCATGGCAAAGGCTAGGAGGGCCAGGCAGAGTCAGGTTAGGGCCAAACGCTAGCTTATTCTGATCCAAAAAACATACAAATAATGAGGTCAGGTTAAGCTCTGTGTCATATTTGGGCAGACAGCAAACTAGTACCCAGGGATCAGAGAGGCAGTAGAATCCAGAAGCTAAGAAGAGGAGCTAGGAGGTCTTCATTCATGAGAAGGGCAGAATGGAAGTAAAGAGGGAAGCTTATTTGTGACCTGGGTAGTCCAAGCAATTGTTTTTCAACCCTAGAAGCTTGTACAGTACAGTAGGAAACAGACTCAGAGGTTGTATCTTGTCCCAATGCACACAGCTCTTCTTCTGTGGAAGAGCTATGACTAGAACCCAGGTCTCATCTCCTAGCCCAATGTTTTGTACTGTGTTACACTTTGGGTGACAAAGTTTTTTTTTTTTTATAATTATCGTCCTTTTCCATTCTTTCATTTCATCCTTGGCTTCAATTAGGAATTCAACCACTGCCCCTCAGAATATTTCATCCTTTGATGTTTCTTCGTTCTCCTTGTACCCCAGAAAAATACCTAGTGTCTTCAGTTTATTTAGAACTTACTGTGTAAGTGCCTGATTGATTTATCTCAGAAGGAAGTTGCAATGACACTTTCTAGTCTGAGTTTTTGGAAGAAGAAATAGACAACTCCTGAGTTACAGCTTGGCTAATGGTCTCTTTTAGAGGTACGTAGACTTGCTCAGATGATGAAACTGGGACTCATCTGATAAGTAGATAGTTCTATTGTAAGAGTTTTTGAACTAATATTTTCATAAAGCATTTGCTGCTTCTATAGAAAACCTTCACAAAGGCACTATTAACTTAGATCATAATTAGCTGCTAAAAATAAGTACAATTTAGGCAGCTTTATTCCACTCAACAAGGCCCTTAGCAACAGTGATATAGAATTGGAAAAGTGGGAAGGTTAGTGTAATCAGCTCTTGATTCTCATTGTGACTTACCCAACAAATCTTTCTTTTGACTTCCTTATGACATTGTAATCTCTTCACTTTGAGCCATTTCTTTTATTTTTTTATTCTTTTTTTTTATTAATTTATTTTGATTTATCAGCAATCACTTCCATATGTTTTTGAGTTTAAAATTTTTCTCCCCCTTCCTGCCCACCACCCTCCCCAAGATGGCTCACAATCTGATACAGGCTATACGTATACATTCCTATTAAACATATTTTCACATTAGTGATGTTGTAAGTAAGAATTAGAACCAATAGGAGGAACCACCAGAAAGAGGAAACAAAACTCAACAGAAGAGAAGAAAAAATAGCAAATACTATGCTTCAATCTGCATTCAAATTCCATAGTTCTTTCTTTGGATGTGGATAGCATTTTCCATCACAAGGCCTTTGGAGATGTCTTAGATCCTTGTATTGCTGGGAAGGGTTAAGTTTATCAATATTAGTTGTCACACAATGTGGCTATTATTGTGTACAACGTTCTCTTGGTTCTGCTCACTTCACTCAGCATCAGACCATACAAGTCTTGCCAGGTTTTTCTGAAGCCAGCCTGTTCATCATTTCTTACAGCACAATAGTACTACATTCATATACCACAACTTTGAGCCATTTCTTTTAGAGCCGGCTGGATGGCCCAGTGGATAGGATGCTGTGCCTGAAGTGAGGAAGACCTAAGTTTAAATCCCTTCAGCTGTAAAATGGGGATAATAATAGCACCTATCTCCATGGGTTGTGGAGAGAATCAAATGAGATAATGTTTGTAAGTGCTTAGCACAGTGCCTGACACATAGTAGGGACTTAACACTTGTTTCTTTCCTTCCTTCCTTCCTTTCATGACATTGTCATTATTTCTGTTTGTAGTTCAGAAAAGAGTTAAAGGAAAGAATGCCAAATATCTTTTTGGTTTTTTAAAAAATGTTTTTTGTTATTCTCTACATAACAAACATCAATATAATTTGCTCCCCTTCTACCTCTGATTTTTCCTGCCTCTCCCCAAAATAAAAAAAAACAAAAAACAGAGAAACCCTTCTTGTATCAAATAAGTATATTAAAGCAAAACAATTCTATACATTGGTCACATCCAAAAAAGATATCTCGTTCTGTAGTTTGCATTCATCACACTTCTTCAGTCTGTAATGAAGACTGATGATTTTGTTAATTGGTATTAAGTCTTTCAATGTTGTTGTTTTTTGTATTGTAAATTCCTGTACAAATTATTCTCCTGGTTCTATTTATTTCACTCTGTGTTAGTTCATACAAGTCTTCCCAGGATTCTTTGAACTCAACCCATTCCATTCATTCTTTCTTAATGGGGTACAATAATATCCTGTTACATTTATATGCTGTAATTTATTTAGACCTTCTCTTCAATTTTTTCCAGTTCTTTCCTACACTAAAAGGTACTGTTAGAAATATTTCTGTATGTATGGCTACTTTCCTTTTTGTCTTTGATCTTTGGGCTATAAACTTAGTAGTGTTATCACTGGATCAGAGGATATGCACAATTTAGTTATTTCTGAGATATAATTCTAAATTGCTTTCCAGAATAGATGGAACACTTCACAGCTCCGTCAACAATGGCCTAGTGTCCATGGTCATTCTTTTTTTTTTTTGGTCATCTTTGTCAGTCCTAGTGAGTGTGAAATGAGGTTTCAGAGTTGTTTTAATTTGCATTTATTTTATTATTAATTATTTGGAGCATTTTTATATGGCTGTTGAGCTTACATTTCTTTTTTTTCCCCCCCACTTAGTAGTATTTTATTTTTTTCTAATTACATGGAAAGATAGTTTTCAACATTCATTTTTATGATATTTTGAGTTCCAAATTTTTCTCCCTCCCTCCCTTCCACACTCCCTAAGACAAGGATGCAATCTGATATAGGTTATACGTGTACAATCATTTGAACATACTTCCACATTAGTCATGTTGTAAAAGAAGAATCAGAACAAAAGGGAAAAACCATGAGAAAGAAGAACAAAACAAAAGTGAAAATAGTATGCTTCCATCAGCATTCAGACTCCATAGTTCTTTCTCTGAATGTGCATAGCATTTTCCATCATAAGTCTTTTGGAATTATCTTAGATCATTGTATTGTTGAGAAGAGCTAAGTCTATCATAATTGATCATTGCACGATGTAGCTGTTACTGTGTATAGTGTCCTCCTGGTTCTGCTCACTTCACTCAGCATCAGTTCATGTAAGTTTTTCCAAGTTTTTCCGAAATTCTCCTGCTCATCATTTCTTATAGCACAATAATTCAGTTACATTCATATACCACAACTTGTTCAGCCATTCCCCAACTGATGGGCATCCCTTCAATTTCCAGTTCTTTGCTCCCACAAAAAGACAATAGCACACATTTCTTAGAGAATTGTTTGCATATCATTTGACCGTTTATTTATTGGGGATTGACTTTTGTTCTTATGTATTTGAATCCATTGTCTATATATCTTGGAAATGAGAGCTTTATCAGAGAAACTTGCTGCAAATATTTTTCCCAGTTAATTTTTTATCTTATAATTTTACGTGTATTGTTTTGTTTGTGCAGAAGCTTTTCAATTTATTGTAATCAAAATTGCCCATTTTACATCTTGTGTTCTCTATCACTTGCATGATTCCATACCTGTGAAAGAGATTTCTTCTGGTTTTGCTGTTTGTTGGTGATGTGACTTTTTATGCCTAGGTCATATATCCATTTGGAGTTTGTTGTGGTATATGGTATGAGATGTTGGCCTAAAGCTTATTTCTATCTGACTGGCAGGTCTCCAGTTTTCCCTGGAGTTTTTGTTTAATAGTAAGTCCTTACCTGGATCTTTAGATTTATCAAGCTTCATGTTGCTGTGTTTGTGTACTTCTATATCTTGTATACCTCATCTATTCCATTGATCAATTTTTCCATATTTTTAACCAATACCAAAGAGTTGTTGATGATTACAACTTTGTAGTATAGTTTGAGATCTGGTACTACTGAACCCCTTTACTTCCAATTTTTGTTGTTATTTCCCTTGAGATTCTTGACATTTACTTCCTCCACATACATTTATTATATATTTTTTCTAGCTATATAAAGTTATCTTTTATTAGTTTAGTTGTGGCATTGAATAAGTAAATTAATTTATTATTATTTTTTATGTATTGGTTCAACCTATCCTAGGTGGGCACAAAGGATAGAGTGCTAGGCTTGGAGTCAGGAAGACTCATCTTCCTAATTTCAAATCTGGACTCAGATACTCACTAGCTAAAAAGTCACTTAACTCTGTTTGCCTCAGTTTCCTCATCTGTCAAATGAGCTGAAGAAGGAAATGGCAAACCACTCCAGTATCTTTGCCAGGAAAACCCCTTATGGGGTTTCAGACACAACTGAAAAGGACTGAACAACAAAATCCATGAGCAATTAGTATTTCTTAAATTATTTATATTTGTCTTTATTTCTGTAAAGAGTATTTTGTAGTTGTATTTTATAATTCCTGAATGTGTCATGGTAGATAGACTTCCAGATATTTTATATATTTAAGATTATTTTGAATGGAATTTTTCTTTCTCTCTTCCTGCAGGATTTTGTTGTTAGTATACAGAAAAACTGATGATTTCTATGGTTTTATTTTATATTCTGCTACTATCTTGTATTAATACTTAACTGCTTTGTATTTATTTGTATTTAGTCTCCTTGTGATTATTCTATATCTGCTTATCTCTGTACCTGTTTTTTCTATTCAGATGTAAGCCACTTGTCAGTAGGGATTGTTTCATTTTTGGTATATATATCCCTAGTGCTTAGCACATAGTAGGTGCTTAGTAAATGATTGCTTGTTCATCTTTTTCCATCTGGTCTTGAGGATTTTTTTGTGGGAGAATTCATTTATGACTTCTTTAATTGTTTTTGCTGGCATTGGGTCTTTTAAGTTTTCTGTTTCTTTTTCTACCAATCTGGGCATTTTTTAAAAAGTAGTTATCCATTTCATCTAAATTTTCTATTTTGTTGGCATATAAATGGGCAAAATAATTTCTGATAACTTTTTTATTTTTTTCTTTATGTGTGAATTTTTTTTTTTTATTTTTGAGACTAGCATTCTTGTTTTTCATTCTTTAAAAATCAAGTTAGTAGTTTATGTCAGGAAATCAGCTCCTGGTTTTATTTATCAATTTAATGGGTTATTTTTTGTTGTTTGTTTTTTTGTTTTGTCAATCTTTTCTTTGGTTTCTTCCATTGTCAAGGTGCCAGCTTAGAGTAGGGGGAAACCTGCAGCCTTAAGGCCACATGTGGCCCTCTAAGTCCTCAAGTACAGCCCTTTGACTGAATCCAGACTTCACAGAACAAATTCTAGAGGGGGCCACATGTGGCCTCGAGGCTGCGGGTTCCCTACCACTGGCTTAAAGAATAATTTGGGCCATCTCTATTTAGGCTACTAGTTTTAATCAGTTTAATGCAGCATATTCATTCCTAAGCTTGCAGTGAGGAACAAGAAGCATTGAAAACAAGATAGCAAAGCTGAATGCTCTACATCCTGTCAGGTCACAATTGTGACCTAAATGTTTTGTTTTAAAAGTGCAGTATTTCTTGACTTGTGCATTAATATAGGCATAAAAGACAGTCATAGTGAGGAATAATATATGGGTAGTCATCAGTTCCACTGATATCCAAGAAATATTAAAAGACCTAGTGGAAAACCTTCACTGTGTTGGGTGAGTATGGAAGGACATGGACAAATATTGCATAGAATGAATGAGATGGCATGGGTGAGTTGTATGTAATGTGAACTTGGGGAGGAAGTGCCTATTCTGATGACATTACAAGTTGATTGATACAAATAACATTCTTAGAGCCTCAGACCAAACCTTATTCATATTTAAGTACAAAAGTACCAAGTAACAATGTTTGGGTTTATTTGGGGATTTTGTATCATGGCTTCCTTCTGTGGCTGCACTTTATTGAGTGTTAACTTGCTTCTGCTGCTAAGCCCCCTGCATGATTGGACAAGAGCTCAGCTGACTGACTAACTTGACTGGTCATGTTCACTCTTCCTGTTGATCACAGTAAGATCGATCTGGCCGTAGAGACTATTGAGACCTGACATCTTACGACAGGCTAATATGATCATTTTAACTATCTTCATAATCATTAGACTAATTTTAAGACCTCTTTGTTGCATGGAAAGACTATAAGCTCTTGCAGGTGTGGAACCTCAGAGATTTAGATCCACGGAACTGCTGTGCTTTATTGTAAGGCTGGTATTTAGCATGAAGCACCATATATATAGTGGGGGTTCAGTTGTTAATGATAATAATTGACTCAGTAATCACACTACAGCTTTAAGAAAGTTTTGTCATCTTCACAAATTGTATCTGTTTCTTAGGATCATTTTGGGAATGGTTATTGTTTGGAATTCACTAGGTTTGTCATCATTGATTCATAAAGTATTTTATTATTGTCTTAATCTGTTTAAATCTTGTATTGTTAATTTTTCATGTGTATACGTCTTACGTCCTTAACTCCATGGTAAGTTCATTACAAAAGAGACAGTCTCATATACATTTCTCTATCTATAATACCTGACCCATTTATTACTTAGTACGTTTTGTTGGGTGTCTGATCAGTTGAAGAGAACAGAAGGACATTTGTCTTCATCTAAAATTTAATCTTTGCTTTGCATTTCCTTCAATCTGTCTGAAGCATAGTTGGAAACAAATCACTAAACACTGTCATTTTTTTCTTAGGATGGAGGATCTTTGGACCAGGTTCTTAAGAAGGCTGGAAGAATTCCTGAGCAGATATTGGGGAAAGTTAGCATTGCTGTAAGTATTTGTCTTCCTCGCAGTTTTGCTTGAGGTAGCTAATAAAGTCAAGGAAGGAAGTAGGAAGTCAATTGAAGAAAAAAGACTCTTGAAAGGCTTATCATTGACCTTGCCAGCTGCCATAATGAATGTCTCTGTCTCTGTTTTTGTCTGCTCTGTGTGTGTCTCTATTCCTATGTGATTTTCCCTTTTTTAAACTTTGTGTGTTGTGAATAAAAGTGAATTCTCTCTGAAGATAAGTTACAGAACTTCTTTTTAGTCTGACCATATTCTTAGGACAAGAGAGAATGTGTATCTTGCATTCTTTCTTTATTGGCGTAGTCATCTATTCCCATGGCTTAATTATTACCTCAATTCAGTTGACTCCCAAATCTATCTCCATCCTCAGTTTCTCCCCAATCTGATATTTCTAGCTGCCTGCTCAGTATCTCCACTTGAATGTCAACATGCACCTCACACACAGCAAACCCTCAAACCTTCTCTGTCTCTCCCTCTTTTCCCTTTCTCTCATTTAGCATCTTTGCTTAATATTGGATTGCTGGATAACATCTCTTGGACCATTTCAGCTTAGTGGTATTGAACTTATATTTGTAGATTGTGTGTTTATTTGACTTTTCAACATAAATATCTGTATTTCTTCTCTACTAGGTAATAAAGGGTCTTACATATCTGAGGGAGAAGCATAAAATAATGCACAGAGGTAAGTGCCTATTTTTTGAAAGATACATTATTTTGATTTCTAGCCACAAATGTTTTAAAATATCTAGTCTTAAAATGTAACTTTTTTTCTATAACTGCTTAGGACAATTTGTTAGAGTAAAATAAATATATTGTAACCTTTTTCAGTCATTGATACCTGTGAACGTGAAGGAGAAGTAGGGGAAGGTGGGAGAGGTCCTTGTGTTCAGCCAACCTTTTATCTCTAGCAATATGCATATTTATAAACACTTAACTGCCCTTATTCTCTTTCTGCAGTGGAAACGCAGTGAGGAAACCCAGGATATTGCCACATGCGAGTATCATAATATATTGTTTGGGAAATAGATTCCAGTACAGTGCTAATAAAGTAGGCCAGGGTTATAGGTTCATTCTATATGTCATGCAGTTAGCTTTGCTGTATTCCATAGTCTAGATTGTGTCTCTCCTACAGCCAGCTGTCTTTCAAATGCATGCCACTGGTCATGATAGGGGCAAGGGAGAAAGAGAACATATATGCCTTAGGGTAGGTGGATACTTCCTTTTGAAAGAAAAAGAAAGATTTCACTGAATACATGATGCTGGGGCTAGTTTAGTGGCATCTTCATGTGCGAAAGACAGAATGTTAATTATATCAAAGTACTTTTTTGGTGAGGCAGTTGGGGTTAAGTGACTCACACAGCTAGTGAATATCATGTGTCTGAGGTTGGATTTGAACTCAGGTCCTCCTGACTCTAGGTCTAGTGCTCTATTCACTGTGCCACCTACCTGCTCTGAGGTACTATTTTTCTGAGATGGAGGCTAGAAGTGAAGCAAGGAAGACTGGAATTCCAGTCCTCTTTGAGGGCTTTAATGCTTTTTTATTTAGATCTTATTAGATTGAGCTTCATTTTTCCTGCCCTCAAACTCTATCTCAATTTGTTTGAAGTAATAGCATCACTTTTTCAGAAAGGAAAATTGTGGAATCTTAGTATTGAAAAGGCCCTAGGAAGTTGTTTAGCCCAACCCTTTGTAAAGCTCACTATCCTGTATAGCTTCGCCTGGCAAATGGTCATCCAGCTTCTTTTTACAGAGAAACTGAGGCAAGGAACTTTAACTATTGTAGTGAGGCAGTCCATTCCAAAGTCTTTGGCTCTGTCAAATGGTTCAGCATCAGAAATGCTTATGGTTTTATGTATTTATCTATATTAGTGCAACCACTGTACTATAAGAACTGTAGGGCCTTACTATCTGATTCGCAGCTGAAACTTCCTGCATGTGTGATCTTCTCCATTAGTGTGGCCTCCTTGAAGGCAGAGGTTGTTTTCTCATTTTGTATCCCAAGTTCAGTACTTTGCACACAGGAAACATTTAATAAATACTTTTTCATTCATGCATTCCTTTATTGGTCAGTCAGCAGTACTGTGTGCCAGGCGCTTTGCTAGGCAGTAGGAATACAAATACAAGCAAAAAAAAAAAAAGAGAGAGACAGTGGCTGCCCTCAAGGAGCTGACATTCTTAAAGGTAGCTAGAAAAGTGGAGAGGTCTGGCTGCAGTTCTTACAGTGGTAAAACATGAAGAAGCTAGCTGACCTGGGTACACTCCTTAAATAGAGGGTCTGGGAGGAGTCATGTCATTCAGAGGGAGGGGCTTCCAAGGTGTGAAGTCTAGGACTGACGTGATTTTCCTCCATGAAGAGGTTTCTGATGGTTAAAATGGTCTTAGATTGAATTGAATTGTGCCTTTCTATCTTTGTAGCTTCCTTAGCCCTAGTTCTGCCCTCCAGAATCCAAACTCTAGTCCCCATACTTTTTTGATTGCACACCCTTATCAGCAAACATTTTTAGCATGAATGCCTTGATATTTGTATGTTTACTTATTTATAAATTATATACATGTAGTGTTTACTAATAACAAGGTACTTGAAACTCACACAAAAGTAGACATTTTAAAAGATGAAACAATGTTTTGAAAATATTTTTAATGGCACACCAGCCTTTTTGTTCTCACTAAAATATTACTCATATTTTAGCGAGATCAGTGTGATTAAATATGCCTCATTATTTTTTAAAATCTTGGTTTAATACTTTGCAGTACAGCAATTCAAAGGCTAATTTTTCAGTTCATTTTATTTTGATACTTGGTTTTAATGACTGTCATATGAAAAAGATACCATATAGAGATATTTAGCTTCAAATGGAAAAAGTGTTTTGTTGGCTGTACTTTCAAAATTACAAAAGTCATTTTTCAATTCCGTCTATCAATTATACAAAGGCTTTCATGAAATTCTGCTAGTAAATTTCCCTCTTTCCTGATGTCAGTCAGTTGTTCTTGCAATCTCATTGGAAGGTATTGCATTTTTATGGAATTGTAACTCTTTGTTTGGAAGATGTCTTAGAAAATTCTGTTTCCAATTTTTAAGTGTACAGATATGAAAATATTCATAGGTGACACACTTACGTTGTTTTTTGGAAACTCAGAAAGGAAAGAGGATTCATCTAATGATGTTTTTCATGACTTCACCTGGGTAACGGGTATCATATTGCTTGCCTTCTCAGTGAGTTGGGGAGGGGCTGGTGAGAGGAGGAGAACTTGGAACTCAAAATTTTTAAAAATGAATATTAAAAATAGCAAGTATCTGGTAAGAGTGACAATGATCAACACCATCAGATGCTGCAAAGACATCAAGAAGGAGGGGAACTGAGAAAAAGGCCATCAAATTTGGCAATTAAGAGAGCATTGGTGGGGCAGCTCTGTGGTGCAGTGGATGGAGCTACAGCCCTGGAGTCGAGAGGACCTGAATTCAAATTTGGCCTTAGACCAGACGCTTGACACTTACTAGCTGTATCACCCTGGGCAAGTCATTTAACCCCAATTGCCTTAACGAGAGAGAGAGAGAGGGAGAGAGCACACATTGGTACCTTTGAAGAGAGCAGTTTCACTTGAGGAGTCAAAGATAAGGAGAAAATTAAGAACCTGGAAGCTTGAGAGGGTGGTGTAGTCTTCCAGTGAAATAGGTAAATTTGGAGGGAAAGCTAATAATATAATGAGATCTGCAGTGTAGACCCAATCCATCATTCTGTGCTAGTCAGTCATTCTTCTCCGCTAAGAATAAAAAGAGGAGGAGGAGTGTTTCACCTGTCTGCGTGAGGGCCTCCTATGACAGCCATGAGGTAACACAGGAGCGGGTGGGCGATAGGGAATTTAGCCTTTTTAGCTGTGCCTAGGTTTATAACCATCCTGAAGGACCAACACCAGAGGTAGACAGACAGTAGAAGCTTGCAGTGACAGGGGGCCAAGTGGATGAGTATTAAACTATAGCAGATGATGAAGGGAGTGGTATAGTTGTGTAATTGGCCATTAGGGCTGGTGGGATGTGACTGATCTTCCCTCTGATTATTTCATCTCTTTGGTGTCATGTTGAGACCCTCACTTTGAAGACCATGCTTTATAGCATAAAGCCAACGGGAGTAACAGCAAATCTTCAAATCCTTGAAATCTAGAGAAAAATAGTCATAAGCAAACGACAGGGCACTTAGCTCCCAGGTTCTGTCCATGAAGTGACTGCTAAATATGACCTGAGCTCTGACTGACTAAACAAAAGGACATATGTTTATATTAAAAGTCTTCAGTATGGGTGCCACATTTTAGGAAGCACATCGATAGACTTAATGATTTCAGAGGAGGATGACAAAGGTGGCAAGAAGATTAGAAATGTCACATGAGGACTGGCTTAAAGGAGCTACTGTTATCTGACCTTTAGAAGAGAGAATTTTTGCAGTGGCACATGAGCGGGCAGCAGGGTGACTGACGGTCTTTCACAGGGATAAGGGGATTAGATTTATTTTGTACTAGAGGGTAGAACCGAAAGCGAACAGAAATTTAGTGAGGCCAATTGAAGGCTGATGTAAGGAAAAACTTCCTGACAATTGGAGCTGAACAATAGCAGAGTGAGCTGCCTCAGGACACAATGGATTTTCTACTGTTAGTTTTTATGTGGCTACCTAATGACCACTTGTTGGAGATGGGGCCCCTGGTTTAGGAAAGAATTGTACTAGATAACTTCAAAGAGTCCTTTCCAAGGAAGAAGTAGAATGGGGTAAATTATCTCACATAAAAGAGGCAAGAAAAAGCTTTTACAGTAGAGGGGAAGCGGGGGAGGAGACAGGGAGTGAATGAACCTTACTGTCATCAGAATTGTTTTGGAGAAGGAATAATGCAATTGGATATAGAAATCTATCTTACTTTTCAGAAAAGTAGGAGGAGAAGGGGGTGGGATGATAGAAGGGAGGGCAGATTGGAGGAGGAGGTAATCAGAAGCAAAATACTTTTGAGGAAGGACAGGGTGAAGGGAGAGAGAGAAAATGGAATAAAAGGGCTGGGAGGAATAGGATGGAGGGAAATACAGTTAGCCGTAGTAACTGTGAAAAAAATTTTGAAGCAAGTTTCTCTGCTAAAGGCCTCATTTCTGAAACATAGAGAGAACTGAGTTAAATTTATAAAAATAAGAGCCATTCCCCAATAGATGAATGATCAAAAGATATGATCAGTTTTCAGATGAAGTAATCAAAGCTATCTATAGCCATATGGAAAAAAAAATACTGTAAGTCACTATTGATTAGATAAATGCAAATTAAGACAGTTCTGAGTTATTTTCTTGTACCTATTAGATTGGTTAATAGGGTAGGAAAGATAAAATGACAAATGTTGGAATGGATGGGGGGAAATGAGACATTAATGAACTGTGAGTAGAGTTGTGAACTGATTCAACCATTCTGTAGAGCAATTTGGAACTATGCCCAAAGGACTATAAAATCATGCATATCTTTTGACCTGGCAATACCACTATTAGGTCTGTATCCCAAAAGAGATAAAAAACAAAAAGGAAAAGGATCTATATATACAAAAATATTTATCGCAGCTCATTTCTGGGGGCAAAGAATTAGAAATTGAGGGGATGCCCATCAATTGGGGAATGGCTAAACAAGTAGTGGTATGTGATTATGATGGAATACTATCGTATTA